GCTTTTTCTTCTTTACTGAAAGGTTGTACTGAGCCAGGCTTTACCCATGACAGGCCAGCAACATGAACACTTTTATTGTGCTGTTCTTCAGGCTTCTAGGCACAACCAAAAACAGACATTTAAAAAAAAAAAAGACAGATGAAGAGAGATCAGTACTGTACAGACAACCTGTTTCCCAAAAACTTATTTGTATATAACAAGTGGGCTCCATGAAGACATTTTAGAAAAGAGAGAGTGAGTTAAACATTTCAAAGATGGCTGCCTACTTACTTTCTGAGTCAGCATCTTCTCTCTGGCTTCATCGTGTACAGAAGGATTCCATGGAGAAAAACTTAAGAGACAGAAAAATATTTAAAAGTTTGTGCCTTTCTAAATGTGCATCACCTCCATTACATAATAATTACGCCAATTCTAGTAAAACTTAACAAGAATTTTAAGAGTGATCTTTAATCAGTTGGCAATATGTATGTTTTAAATGTTATCTAAATTATTGTCTCACATTTTAACTATCCCACTAGGGAGATAGCTCAGTGGCAAAAGTGTGCCTTGTAAGCTCAAGGTCCTGAGTTCAATCTCTGGTACTAAAAGTAAAAAAAATAATAATAACAACATTTTAACTATCCCTTATAAATTTAAGCCTGAAATACTATTATTTAAAGATGAAAAAAATAAGGCAGAGTAAATCTAAATAATTGCTCTGAGCTACCAACGCTAAGAAGTACAAAAGCCAACTAATCCACCTGCGGATCCCACACCCTTAAATTATAACGTGCCGCCCTCGGCAGTATTAATGTCACAGAGCTAAGTCCCCAATCCTTTGGTCCTCCAGTCCCTCCAGGTGTTCTCCCCCATCAGGTTTCAAGCACTGTGAGACCCGCTGGCCTCACACTGCTCAGCTTCTCTCTCTCACCACACCTGGATGTCAGCAGGATACAGTGGCTTCGGGGCTAGCAGCTAAGGCTGCCAAATGGAGAGTCCTCCTGTCTGGGTTATGAGCATGGTGCCAGGGCCCTCAGGAAGCCAAGTCACTGAGCATCCTGCCGTTAGCACAGTGCGCAGACCAAGGCAAGCTCTTCCCCACGGGCAAGCAGAAACTGAGCTGATCCAGAATACGAAGACTATATGCTAACAGTTTACACATTCCTTTAAAATCCTCATTCTAAGGCCACCTGGAAAATTCATACTGCAAAGGACAGTTCATCTACACACTTACCTAATTGCATACGGGTCTTCTATTTTAGGTTGTTCAAACAAACGAGACGTGCACACCTTAACACTGTCGACTACTTTGCTTTTAAAAAGGTGAACATCTTTTTCATACCTGTGTTCAAAGTTTAAATCAAAGTTACCAACTTAATTTACTATGGGGCACTTCAAAATTTATCTTAAAGTAAAAGTTACGTACAGTACTGCAGCCTCTGGATTTAAGGGGTTTGCTGTATCAATCTTGTAGAAAACTCTCCTTGCATACATTAATACTTGCCAAATATGATTATGGTTCCGCCTGAAGGGAAACATGGCATGTTACCAGGGCTTGTTCCTGCCATCTTATGTCACTGGAAAAAGTCCTGATTTACTCACCTCCATTTTGCAAATGCTCTCTTCACATCCAGTTCACCTGAAGTGGGATCAACTAGCGGGTGAAAGACGGGAATATCAAACACCAAGCGCTATATTTAAAGAAAGACATGTACTTTAAAAGGAGTAACGGAGTTTATTAAGATCCTAGAGACAGTTACAAAAGGAACTTCAGGACAACACTGCAGACATGTTGTATGGTCACAGAACTACCACAAATGGCTACTTAGCTAGTTTATAACTTTCCTGTACATCTAAGTGTTTCATTGAGGGGAAAAGGTCACTCTGTTCCACTACAACACACCATCACCATTCACACAGGAAATGCCACACTGGAGCTTCCAGCCTCACCTGCAGAGAAGAGTGAAGCTACAGGTAGAGGGTGGTGTGGCAAAAAACAAAACCCCAGAATCCCTTGAAAGACTGGGGAGGACAAGTGTTTTGGGAAACCTAAACTATTATACTTACTAGATCAGGGAAAGAAAAAAATCTGTAAGCCCCTTAACTTCTCCTCAGTGAAGGAAGCCCCCCAAGTGAAAGCAGACAGTCTCCCACTTACTGGACAATCACCATCTGGATAGTTATCAGGGATGTAAACTGTGAACTTAAACACGCCATCTTGATAAAGCCCATGCCGTATGAATATTACTCCAAACCACACTGCCGGAAAATAATAAATATGGTTAAGGCCTCAAATTTGTGCAAGAGGAACTGAGTATGCCATTAATTATGACAGAAACTTTATCTTACTTAATGCGGAGCGGTAAGATGGCTGCACATAGACTCCCGGTAACTTCTGCTTCACTACCAAGGTACTAAAATAAAAACAGAGTAATCATTAACTCGTATAGATGTCAGTGACACACACAGACCAAACCATCACACATTCATTTTCTGAGACTAGGACTCATCCCTCCCTGGGCAGCTGATACCCAAACCAATAAGCCGAGTCATCAGTCTCACCTGACCCAACTCTGAGCATCGCCCTCACCACTTCTATTTACTGACTTCATAACCACGCTCAGAGAAACGCACAAGCTGCGCAAGGCTTCGTATTAAGAAAGACAAGAATACACAAAGAATCAAGTAGTAAAATGTGCAGAAATCAGATGCAAAACATCGTCTTGGACAGTAAGACCAGAGATAGTTCTGAACAGTGTAACCTAGTATGGGACATAAATTTGAAGGAAATGAGTATTTGTAAAATAATCGCTTTTGTGACTGTAGATCATTGATCTCACATACTGTTAAAAACTATTTTTACTGTGAAACATACAATAATATTAGCAGAGGACAGTGGCATCTTCATCTCACCACTGGGGAGGGTGGAGCAAGAGGATAGGAGGGTCCTAAATGCACAGCCAGGCTGGATTACATAGTGAGTCCCAGGTTAGCTTGGTCGACAAGAACCTCTCTTGCTCAAAAAAACAAAAACAAAACAAAAAGGCAGTGGCAAGAGGATCTCAAGTTCAAGTTCTGCCTGGACAACTTTTTTCGCTCAAAATAAAAAAAGAGGCTGAGAACATAGCTCAGTGGCAGACTATTCATGAGTTTGATTCCCAGTACCAAGAATAATAAAAATACAAATGTCCTGAGCTTCAGGGTATGATACAGTAAAGTTAACAAAGTATACTATAGTAAATTTGAAATAAAGTTTAAAAATTTCTAAAATGCAACTTTAGAAGACTTCATGGACTGGCCATCACTCAGTTGTCCTGAGTCTGAATCAGCAGATCATATGGCAGAGGGCAGTGCTTAGTGGTGAAGGCAGGTGTCGTTGTGAGCTCTGCACTATGTACTCTGTCCCCAGATAACACCCTAAACTCAGACACTTGAACCCTGTGGCCCTGGCTAGGGAGTAGGAAAGAATGAGTGCTGAAACTAAGGAAAGACAAGCAGACTGACACAAAGGCTTCACTGGTTTTTCCTGGACCCTGGCGACCCATCAACAGCCATTCTGCTCTTTGCAACTATATTTACAAGCTATGATCCAACTTTGAAAAGAACAAAGGCCAGCCAAAATAGCTCAGCGGATTAAAGCACCTGCACTCAGGCAGAGGGGCCAGGGGTTTGGATCCCCAGGCCTTCCATGCTGGGCCTGCCTTCAGGGTGCCCTGAGATTGCAGGGCAGTTGAGACTGGGTGTGGTGGTGCGCTCCTATTATCCCAGCACTTGGGAGGCTGTAAACAGAAGGATCACTACAAGTCTGACCTAGTAGTGAGACCCTGAACACCCTGTAGACCCTTCCCTAAAATACAGAAGAAAAAACACGTTTAGCTGAGGCCTTAAAGACATTTACCTGCCAATCTTGAATTGTACTGGGAAGTAATTTATTGGATCCTGGTTCATTGTTTTTATTACTGAATTGCCATCACATTTATTTTTAGCCATTTTCTAAATTATTTATTTCATTTTTAAGTCACTAAAATTCAGCATGTCAATAGCAGCATGATTCATGATGTATCTACCACAATGAGGTTTGCCAGAAGACAATTTTGTGTTTGAATACACAGCAGATTTAATCACCACAATAGGAGCCTCTCCAACACACAGTCCAGCCTCAGTCACAAAGCTTCTATTATAAAGCTAAAAGGACCAGTGCTACCAAATCATACCCAGCCCATTACCCGGGGGCCTCAGACCTTCTGACCATTACTTTAGTATGCTGAGGAAAGAACCAAGGATGCTTTTAAAATAACTATATATTCAGAGGAATTTTAAAATGATGGAAGTTAGGAATTGGCTAAAGTTTCTATCTTTTTAACAAATTATCAAAATAAATACACCTGAATCCATCTAGTCCCTTTATGTGCCAAACACTCTGTGTCATCCCTGCCAGCACTCTGCACCACATAAAACTGCAGGACAAGGGTAGACTTAAGTGACTAATGAAATTCTTCCTATCTGCACTTGGAGCCCAAATCTTCCAACTTGTAATTGCCAAGCCTGCTGGGGTGTCATACAAAGTAAGTCAAATCCCTTCTAATACCAGACCTCTCAGAAGACAGCTGTACCAAGTACATCTTGAGTTTAGTTTACTCTTTTCTAAGACATCTGCTGATCACTAACATCTTCTGGATCCCTACCTGGAACAGTCTGTCAGGATGCCTCCTTCAGGGTGACCACCAAATTGGAATACAGTTTCAGATGGCTCTGATGCAAGAAAGAAAGACTGCCACTGCCCACCCTCCACAGAGACCTCTTAAGGCCAGGTGTGATAGTGCCCATCTGTAATCCCAGCTGCCCAGGAGGTAGAGGCAGGAAGAACGGCAAACTTGAGGCCAGCTGAGGGCAACTCAGACCCTGTCTCAAAATAACAAATCAAAAAAGCTGAGATGTATCTTAGTATATCCTCTGGGTTCAATTTCTGGTACTACACACACAAAAACAGTTCCCAAGTTCCTGATCACTCTGAGTTCTTTATAAATCTTAGTTTCTTCCTCTTCTTGCTCTTTAAGAGAGTAAAGGGGTATAGAGTCGAGCCTTAAGATTAATTTGATAGTGTATTAGAATAAATTTTATTTTCCTTCTCAGCCATCATTATAACGGAATCAAGTAGTCTGGTAGGAACTTACAATTCTGCGAGCAGAGAGTATTCCAGGTAGAAGGGGCCGTAAGAAGCATGTGTGCCATTTGTTGATTGTGCTGCCGGGGCAGGAGTCGTAGGCTTAGTTATGGGTAGTGCATTTTTGGGAATAGAAGGCAGCTGTTTTTTTGGTGCCGTTCTTGGAGGACTGCTTTTCACATCCCCTGCTAATGTCTTCTCTTCGCCATCAGAACGCTATTCAAGATGAAGTTGGGAGAATATATTAGGATTATTCTTAAATGACATGATTACAGTATAAGCACCATGACCTAAAAGCTAGAACCATGCTTTCATATGGATGTTCTGACACCATGATTAAGATGACCTCAAAGTCTTTCCGGTAGAGAGCTCATAGAAAGGGGACAAGATTGAAGCAAGACTAAAGCATTAGAAAACTGTCACTAGCAGCATCCTATAAGGACAATATAGTCCATATTTACAGGATATAAAGGAATGATTTCTCCAGGTGGCCTCCAGAAGAGGCAAGGCATTACTAAGCCATTGGATAACTAAGGAAGACAAAGAAATTCCTTTTGTAGTCTGGAAGGGCAAGCACTGAGAAGATGTGGAAGGGCAGGCATGGAATCCAGTTCAAAGTCAATTTCAGTGATGACTGAAATGAGTCACTCCCTGATGTCAGCGCCTGGGTAAAAACAAGGAATGAAGCTAGTCTCATTTTTCGGGGTCTAATTTTTATCTTGTCCCTAAGGAATATCTCCACATTTGGAGTAACATCAGCATAAACTGTCATCCGTAGTCAAAGAAAATGTCAAAATGGGACTAGAGAGATAGGTCAGTGGTCTAGGTGCCTGCCTGGCAAGCACAGGGACCCAGATTCAATCCCCAGTACCATATGCCGTGGGTACGCTGCTAGCCACCAAAACCAGGTGTAGTGGCGCACACCTGTAAACCCATTGCTGGGTAGGCTGAGCAAGGAGATCACTACAAGATCAAGCTGCACAGTGAGACCCTGTATCAACAAAAATTAAAAAAGAAAAAGAAAAAAACAAAGTCAAAGTGAGCCAGCAACTGGGAGTTCCTTGGCTTGAAAATGTATAGAAAAAACAGGCCAGCCTGATAGCTCAGTGGACTAAATCTATGTAGTGAGAACCTGTAGACACTACCCTAAATATAGAGGAAGAAAAAAAAACAGAGAAAATGTATAGAAAAAAAGCAATTACTTTTTTCTAGCAGGTAGAGTTATGGGTTTCTTTTATTATTGCTTTCATAGTTAAAGTTTTCCTAAGATGAAAATGGACTTTTAGGGGCTGGTGAGATGGCTCAGTGGTCTAAAGCACCTACTTAGAACAAGCTTAGCAAAGCACAGGGACCGCGGTTCAATCCCCAGCACCACATGCCAGCCAGCCCTGCCCCCTAGTGGGTTGAGCTGGCCACACACACACACACACACACACACACACACACAAATTATAAAAAAAAAAAAAAGAAAGAAAAAGGACTTTTAAACAAAATTTAGAAAAATTAAATTAGTACCCCTCAAGTCTGAGTTGACTATAGCTTTCTCTAATCACTAAATCTTGAAGTTTAACAAAAACTACTGTAATGATGTATTTCTAACTGCATTATGTGTAAATATAAATAAAAATCTTAGAATTGTGATAATCAGAATGCTTTCTATTTGCCATGTAATCTCAGCCTCAGAAAGTGACCTTAATGTAAAAAATAATTATTTCTCAAAAGAAATCCTAAACTAGACAAGCCAGTTTTATTCACATCATAGGTGAATTTGTTCATGGATTTTTTTTTTTTTAATGTATTTAGTACAGTCTCACTACACAAATCGGACTCGTAGTGATCCTCCTGTTTTCAGCCTCCCAAGCATTGGGATTACAGGCATGTGCTACCACGCCAAGTCTCAATCCCCATCTCAGCAAGTGCTGGGGGCAGGGCTGGCACAGCACACTGGGGATCAAACCCCAGTCCCTGTATCTGCCTAAGCTGGTGCCTTAATCCGCTGAGCTATCTGGCTGGCCCCTACAGGTGAACTTGGTACAGGCTTTTTCTTTATTTTGATTCTAGGGATTGAACCTAGGGATCCCACCTAACTACATCCCCAGCCCTTTCTATTTTTCGAAACAGTCTCTCAGTAGCCCAAGTTGGGTTCTGTAATCCTCCTGCCTCAGCCTCCTAGAGAGCTGGAGTTACAGGTGTGTGCTATCATGCCTTGCTGGTATCTACTGTTTTAGCCATCAGTCTGACCCTCCTTTCTGCTCAAGAAGCAAACAAGTTTCCTCGCATTTACTGGTTATACCTACTTTGCGTACAGAGCTTGTAGACATGCTCCAGAAAGGGTTCATAACGTGTCCTCCGAACAAAGAAATTCAGTGGTCTGTGTCATCTAACTCTTCTGTCCTTTGCATTCACTGTATCTTAAAAACAAGATAGGAAACACAAACATATCAACACCAGTTAAGACTTCTGAAATGGTTAGAAATTAAATCTAATACTCTAAAGATACAGCACAGTATTTTATCATAGCTGTAAAAGCCTAGGTCTTCAGGCAGCTTCGGAAATAATTTCCTTCTATACTCACTTCCTCTTTGGGCTCCTAGTTTCTTTGGCACCTTTCAATGTCTGCAGGAATCTGTGCACCAGACTCTGGACAGACTTCAGAATATCTGGTGACACAGTTCAGCTTTAGTACCCAAGATGCTAAAGATATATAATACAACAGTTGCCACTAGCTTAATATCTAGGTGTTTTAACAATGGGAAGGCCAGATTCAGAATGTACTGCCCTCACGTACACAAATGCTCTGTCACTGCTCCTATGGTCATGAAAAGGAACAAATGATAAAGTTTTAGGCCGGCTGATTTAAGAATGTCTTAAATGAGTTGTCTCAAGTACAAATTGACTCATTCTAGCAAAAACTTATCAGCCAGAGGAATAAGAAAAAAACAAGGAAAGCATATCTATATCAGCATATCAGAAAGAAGATGGGGAATAAACTGCTAAAAATATGGAAATTCTGCAGGACTCAGCATTTAAAAGATTACCAAATGATACAAACACAAGGAGAAGTGCAAGAGAGACATTTCACAAAGACAGATGTGCTCAAGGCTTCAAGTAGTGGATAAGAAAACACGTCTCAAAGGTCACAAAGTCAGTGGGTCAGTCACTAAAAATATGAAGACGCAAAGGAGAAAACAGCCAAACCCAACTGTAAGAAAAGCAACTCTGCTCTAGCCACTGCACTCCAGCTCAGCGGTCTTAAGCAGAGTGCCGCCTCTGAATTTCTATCTGTACCAGTCGAGTGCTGAAAAGGAAAAGGGCCAAAACTAAGCAAGATTTTTCTAATTTCTTAAGGAGCAAACCATGTACTAAATGTCCCTCATCAGCAGTCATTTGTTTTCTTTCCAGTTTGCCTGTGACATCACCAGTGAATACCAGGGCTATCACACCCAGCCAGTGCCTATTACTGCTGTTTGACTTTAGACATCGTGCCACCCATTAATTAAAATAGATCCAGAGAGTAGATCTGGATCTAAAATAGATCCCAGTTCTTCCACAAACACGTTGACTTATGTCCAATAACTAGCAAATCTGCCTTTAAAACTGACAAAGATCATGAAAATAGCTGAGATATCAAAAATGTGGGGGAGCACGTTCCTGTTTGGCCCAATATGACAGGGCCAAAATCAACACCGATTTATTCACCGTCCTTTAAGACATACCTGATTTAACAAGACCCCCTCCACCCCTTGGAATACAGTAGTGCTCCTAGACTTGTAAATGTCCTGAGGTGGAGCAATTGCCTAAAAGTCCCTTTCAAGTCTACTACATTATGATGGTATGCTTTTGCTTTTTAAGAATTCAATAAAACTTTTCCCAGTTTTCCTATCTTCAAGAAGAGGTAGTGTTTCCTGCTGCCTGGCCTTGCGATGGATTGAACCCAGTGGTCCCGCAGCACCGCAATCACGACAAACCGTAGCACACTTCAGGCATCAAAGACACCATTTATTAGATGCCTGGGCTGCGACAGGCACAGTATGACACAGTCCGATAGGAATGACACAGATGAAAATCGCAGGCGACATCCTTGTAATTAGGAAACGCTTTTAGAATTTCTTTCTGTTGGTTCGGCTTTGAGAACAAAACATGATCAGATGGCTGAGAAGTCGGTCTGTTGGGCCTGTGCGAATAATCTGTACCTTGCAGAGCCCACACAGAAGCCGGTGCTGCTGTTCTACGAGTGCCTTAGTGCCTTCGTGGGTGCTAACTTAATACATCACCCCGACACGGGCTTAAGAAATTCTATATCGAGAGGCGACAAGGCAGACCCCAGAGAAAAAGACCACAGCTCCGGCCCCGGTCAGGCTCGCCCGGACGGCCGTGACTGGCAGCAGGCTGGGACCGGCACCCTCGCCCGGGGCAGAACCCGGCTCGAGCACGCAGAGAATCTGGACAAACCTGTCTCGAGGTGATGCGAGGCGGAGGCCGACCCTGCCGCGCAGGTGGCTCGAGGCAGACCAGAGCCCGCAGCCTCTCCGGAGGGGGCAGACCCTCGAGCTCCGCGACGTCGCCCCTCAGCTCGGGTTTGTGCCGAGGCCAGTGCCGGTAGCCGGGAGGGCGGGCCCCGCAGGGCAGAACTGGCTGTGCCCGCCTCCTCCCTCCGGCCTGCCAGGTCCAGCTCGAGCAGCAGCCCCGGACCAAAGCCTGCGGGCCGAGACCGCCGCGCAGCAGGTGCCTGCAAACGCGCACAGGTGCCCGGCCCCGCCCCCGTGGCCCAGCCCGGCCGCCGTCGCTGTGGAGTTGAGAGCGCTGGGGAGGGCACACAGACGCCGTGCCCGAGGACGCTGGCAGCCCGAGCTACTGGACTCCTCAGTCCTCGCGTCCCTACAAGCCGATGGGGCAGGGCGCCTTACCCCGGTGTCTTCAGGGCAGAGCTCCCGGCTTCCTAACGCCGTCGCGGTCCCACAGCATCTCTAG